CTGAACAAATGCAGATGGGTTCGCTGGACACCTTTGGGATGTACATGTCATGGAAGCCGACATGGATGCTGCTGTCGTGGTAGTCTTGCGACGATCTAGCCAAAATCCGACCACCGCCGACCGGAAACAAGAAGTACACACATTCGTCGAGGCTGACATCCTCTTGCGTGTCTGTCGTATTGCGCTTCCGGGAAAATACCAACGTCTGCATACCATCTTCGATTCTGCCCTGAATGTTGTAGACATCCTTTTGCTTGTCGATCACCGGCATTTCCTTCCCGTACGCAAACCTGTCCGTGACGTAGGTCTTATTCTCATGAACCCAGCCCATGATCATGTCGCTGTTTGTCTGAAAAGAGTCAAGTACAAATAAGCAATTCTAAACGTCGACGCTCTGTTAATTTTAAGGTACCCTACGAAAGCAATAACTGATCGTTCAGTAGCCAGGTAGATAAAAGTGGTTTGAACCCCAAAGGTGTGGAATTATTAAACAGCGAAACTTTCAGAACGCCAGCACGATGTTTCTTTAGTAGCATGAATTTCAGAAGTTTGTCATCTAACGTTTTTACTGAATACCACAAATAGCCATGGTGGCAAAAACCGATTGCTACTGCATGCAAACCGTCTGTTTTTATATAAGCTAAAATATGTGATTTTCTCTGACATTACAGAATTACAATAGCAAGGAAACTGTGCAGTGAGCTATGAAATTTTATTAGCAGAGGAGCAGCGAGCTATATTCGCAAACTTAAACGTCTGTGCCTCTAAGTTGCCCTCCCTCATGAAGGCATAAAAGGTTCACGACTTTAAAATGCCTTTGGTGGTGTGAAAAATATTATTCTATTCATTAACATGATGCGAAATACATGTATACTGCTAAGATAAGTGCCAGGAGCGATAGTTGCCAAATTCTGCATAATATCCAAGGGCGAAGGCTGGCTGCATGTCTGATTCGCTGTTCGAAGAACTGAGAGTTTGTCTGGATAAATGGGCATGACGTCGTTGAAAATCAGCATTATACTTGTTGTTATTGCAAAGTTTAATGGTTCCATATATTGTAATAAGCTTGGTTTACTTCATGTTCCTTATTATGACTCAACAAAAAGCATGCCGAAGACAATACACGCCATATGACTCAGCCACCACAGGCATGCACGATACTGAGTTAACAAATGGCAACAAATTTTCGGGTGTTCTTAGTTTATAAAAGATTGATTATTAGACATCGATAGATAGTAAATCAAGCTGTAATTTTAAAATAATTTTAAATCATAACAGTGATACTGTTGGTTTAGAAGACTTACCATTGAGCCGGTTTCGGAAAAGCCTATACCTGTCCATCTTCCAACTTCTTTAGAAGTAATATGAAAAGTGACTTCGTTGGAACTCGGATCGAAGGACCAAACGGCCAAATATTCGCATGACGGTGGTATGCAGCCTGCGGGAAATCGATATTCTTGCTGACAGTTTTCTAAACAACACAATAAGCGTAGTCAGGGAAAAGTAAAAGTTTAACTTAATTAATAATGGTCAGTAATTACTCATATTTGTCGATAAGCTCAGAAGAAGAATATCAATGTTAAAACATGCAAAAACGATCGAACTGTGATGAAAGCGAAAATAAGGTCCAGAGTTGAAAATAAGAAAGCTAAAACAAATCCCTGAAATCTAAGCCGTCACCTTTCAACGAGTAAAACTTTCAATCGCGTGGAAGAAAAAAGAACATTTTCGACGTTACAAGCAAAATCGATCGTAGTAGACAGGGGATCATGCATTTTGCATAATTCTTGCACTGATTATCAAAGAGGATAGTAAGCGACCAGGTGGGGTAAAGGGCAAATGGGGTTCAACATCAAGACTTTGCATCAGACAGAAAGAAGGTACCTCTTGTCCATTCTTCCATGACCTCACATGAACCGTGAACCGTGAATCTTCCAAACACGTAATTATGCCGGATTGGGACAATTCGGAACGGCCCTTTCGGAACCGATCGATAGTCCATATGAAAGTGCAGTTGTGTGAGATGCGTTTGATTCTATATGACCGGATTGTGATCATATCGATCAAATGTAATATCCGACTTACATTTATATATCCATAAGAAGATCCCGGTGAGCACGATGTGAAGCTTGTGTCAATAGTAACAAATTTCTAAGATTTGGCGTTTTAATTTATGACTCAATTTTTCTACTTCATCAGTAAAATTGAAGAAATATCGGGATTCTGACGAAAGGATGATATCCATTGTGAATAGCTATCATTATAGAGATATTACTTATCTTCGTGGCTTTGCGCATAACTACGAAACGGCTCAATGATTTTATATATCGCATAAAAAATTTTGCTACATAAATATGGTTACTTTTGCATTAGCTCGTTGTTCTTCCATGTAAAGTTGACTTTAAACTACATTATATTTGCACATTTCAATGTTTAATAATTGGGCATTTTTACAACCAATTTATTTATGATGTGGTTGTACTCACTGTGAGATATTAATATATAAATAGTGAACATTTACTGATGGTCGAAATTACAGAATCGTAGAAATTCATTAGTTTGAAGACATTTTAACATTATGCTCTCAGAGAGCTTCTCATTGATGGTGGGTTGGATAGTACAGTTGGTCGGGAAGACCACAGTCCATTCATATAGGTTCAAATGTGTTGCACGTCGATAACGACTACCGATCGGCGTCGAAACGTCTCGCACCGTGTCGCTATAGTTCGTACCTATAAAACACTATGGTGCCCATGTTATTCACAAGTCAGCGTCTTGCTAATCGTTCTTGGCCACTTGCGCCAGAACGGCTGGAGGGAATTCCTTGTTCAAGAGAATTTGCGGTTACAAGAAGCTGCTGTTATGGTTGATGATTCGAACCCGGCAGCTACGGACATCGAAGTTGATTTCTCGCTGCCATGCCATCTTGTAAACGACCTCTGAGTAAGTAGATTAAGAAAACATGTCTAACTGTGAAGCTTCGAATAACAGTTTCTCATTGTCTCAGATTAATGTTCAATTGTATAACGCGGAGTATCATAGAATAAGCAAAACATCTGAAGTTCTCGTTATTCTGTCCAGTCCCATATTTAACGAAAAAAAGTGTTTAGTACCAATGGTCAATGACAACTGGAAAAAAACTTTAACTTCTGTTAAGAAACTATAATGTAGCCTACATTCAATAAACAACTGTATATCGACGCTAATCGAAAGAATGATTGAAAATTTGCTCTTTAATAAATTACTTTCTTATGAAACCAGTGAAAGTAACGGGGAGCCTGCTCCTCAAACCCAAAAAATTCAACTATTTTGGTTCCATCCTGCAAGATAATGCGGAAATCGACAGCGAAGTAAAAAATCAGACAGAACAGAAAAGCTTCACTCAGATGGAAAGAAATGAGCGGAGTGCTGCGCGACAAGAAGATGCCAGTCAGACTGAAAGGGAAGGTGTACAGAATGATAGTAAGACCGTTGCTTCTGTAAGGAGCGGAATGATTGGCAACCCTGAAGAAACACAAACATCACCGGGTGCGGTAGAAACGACAGTGCTCAAATGGAGGTGCGGTGTCACCTGAAAGGACTACATCCGAAAGAGCTTCGTAAAAGGCACTCTAGGGATGGCACCAATTTCAGCTAAGCTCATCGAATGCAGGCTCCGCTGTTTCGGCTAAGTGAAAAGAAGACCCATCGTACGTTGGAAATATGGTCCAAGCTGGGATGCTTCCGGGAAGGCGAAGAAGAAGCAAAGCAAAGAAAAGGTGGAGCAATGTCGTCAAGAACGATATGAAACTACGAGGAGTCTCTGAAGGTCTAATGAATGAGAGAAAAATTTGATGCAAGTTCACTCGAATAGCGGACCCCTGCTTAAGAGAACACGCTAGAAAAAACAAGAATAAATATCTTTAATATATTATGCCTCTATCGTTGAGTGAAGAAAATCGTAAAGACTGCTACAGCGGATTTCACAGGAAGCAAGCGGAAGTACATTGATGCCACGTATGCTATTGGAGAAGCAATTCAGGAGAGCCAGAAATTCCATAGAAGCCCATTACAAGCCCTCATATGCTGACTCATTCTGAAATAGGATCATCTTTCTCACCACTGATGAGACAACCTGAATATGATCGGACTAAGTAAAGCAGCCATTAAAGTGCACTCCCGGGTAGACAAAAAAGCTCGACTGTGTCAAGCTCGACATGCTGTAGGCTTATCGCTGATAGGAATTTCGATAAAGTAGCGGAGTGTGAGTTTCGAGGTTCAAAAAGGCTTTCTCAAAAATTTTCTTGTGTTAAGCTTCAGTCCGTTGGAGATGGACCAGCTTTTTCAGTTGCTGACGTCGTTAAATTAATCTGCCAATTCTTACACGTATAACTGATATCGTTGGCAGTATATTTCAGGCTTAGAGGAGGTAGGCAATCTTAACACTTATTTTTGTAGATGGCGAACAGTGAGGACGCAACAACCAAACTTTAAAGTACACCAAGGCTGTGAGACAGTTAATCCGAACCATTTTTGGGCAAGCAAACGAATGCCGCGAAGGACCAGAAAAATAAGTTGAAAAAAACTCACGTCATGCTGATCACGTTCACACTGCATCGACGTGGAGAGTAGCCTAATGTTATATCACCGCGTGAATAGCCAATGGAATATCCGAAAGTGCGAACAAATATGACTCATTTTCATGATCGAATGGCTGTGCCATGAAATGAGCCAGCATCACCGGTGGCTCGACTGTCTCTAAGGCCAAATTGATGGGGCTCTAATTCTCCTGAAATTGATCGCTGAAGCGAGATCTGACGAGGCAGGAGGTCTTGGAGATCTACTTTCCCATCGTCTTTTCGATAGACGTAACATGGAACGCCAGCAGTGCTGAGAGCTGCCTTACGTATAGAAAAAAGAGTTGAACAGGTCTGTAAAATGCGCTTCAGGGTTAACGGCAGAGAGTAGGTAGTCGCATCGACGATGAAGAAGTCCAATCCGGGGCTGGCGCTGACGAGGTGGTCAGTTTATGCAGACAACTGACGGGACGATAGCCAGCACTTTCAAAATAGTGATCCTGTCTCGATTGGTCACGTGCTTCAACTCGAATACGAAGGAGGACGAAACACCGACGAAGCTGTTCAAACTGCATTTAGATCATGAACTTCTGTTTGAGTTCAGAGAGGTTACCTTTGGTAATGAACGAATGCCTTCAGCTCATGCCAAAGTTGAGCAGATTGTATTGAACAAAAGACAGAAAAGTGGTGTACGTTTAGACGCTGAATTTTAGCACGAATAGCCAAATCAAGTTTCTTATATGAATCTCTATGATCTTCATCTTCATCATCATCATCTTCCATCGCCGCTGCTCCTTTCGGGTCGCGGAGGCAGACACGTCAGACAGAGCTTCCAACGTTCCCGGCTCTATGATCTTACGAAAGCATACCTGATTTTCATCCTCTCAGTCGTTTCAATTTTTCAGACGATTATAGCAGCCTGACAGAAATGTACAGAGGTGGAAACGTGGCAAGAATAATGCACAAATATGTGGCAACTGAATCTGCACGGTGATCGATATGGAAATCAGTCAGTACTGACCAATGTCTTAATAATGAAGGCTTGAAACCACTTCTTCAGATGAAGTCTGGACACGTGTCACTGCCAATGCTATGGTCAGCGAAAGCTGGAGTCGCACATTGAAGTACGCATTTAACGTGCTGGAAAATGGACAAGTTCCAAATGTCCTTGGTCACGAAGGATTGTGGTACCCTCGCGGTTTATGTCTCCCATGGTTACCACTACGCAGTCATTACGCGAAGACCGCAACTGCTTCATAAGATGCCCACAACGGAGGAGAACAAATTTTCTCGATTGGTCGCATAGCATGGGGACCATTGCCTGATTGAAGAGGCACATTGAGGTTGGGCGACAGAGAACATTCATAAGCGATTCGATACCGTTGAAATAGCTTGCAAATCTCACAGTTGAACACCAATCCTTATGAGTACGAGTATGAGTCCAATCTCACCTCATCCGCGACTACCTGCCATGTCTGCACGAGATGCACTGTAGTAAAACACTGCCGCAAATCGCTCTCAAGGCGTTTCGGTAAGTCGCTTATGCTACGTTATGGCGTAGATCTCTTGCACTAAAGAATAGTTACAAAATGATGAAATTTTTACAGTAAGCTGATGAATCATCGGGAATGGCAAAAATCAACGACAGAAAAAGGAAGACGCGTTTGCTTACAAATACAACTAGTGTTTTTTGTTTCTCCAATGGCTGCCTAACGAAACCTGATTCATTTTAATAATGGAACCATGTTGTGCATATAA